TTAAACCTGAGTTTCTTGAGTGCTGGGACTGTCTTATGCCTCTTTTTGTATCCCCATATCTTAGCCTAGTGCCTAGTACAGAGTAGGTACTTAATAAAAGTTTATTGATTGATTGAGAGAAAGTTTGATAAACTGATTATCATCAGGAGGACTTTTTATTCCTTGCTTAAGTGAAACTGATTAAACCAGTTACTGAGTATATAAGAACTTCCAGGTCCACAGATGGGTCAATCAGTGATAATGAGGAAGTTGCTTGTCAGGTTAAGACCTTGCAAAAAAAAAGTCAGTCCCTACTGGAATGGTGGTGATTAGAACCTTATCAAGGCAGGGTGAGAGTTCTTTAGTCTTAGCCAACATACCCAGCTAACAAAAACCAGGATGGGTTCCCCCAGGTTAGGTCTTTCTTTTTCTAGTCCTCTGTGTAGGTAGAGACCAAAGTCTTGTTAATGGCAAAATTCCTAATTCAGGGTTCCAACAGTCTTACATTCCCCCAAGATCCTCTCTGGCTTATTTGGAAATGAATTTGAACCAGAAAAAAATTTAGACTAATGAAACAAGGTCATTATTTTCTTTAATATGCAAATCCTGGGTTCCCCAGTGCTTTTGTTTTCCTAAGTAGGAATTATTTTTATTTGTTATGCCTTAATAATGTTATACTGTAGCATTGTAGAGGTTATGACTCTACTTGTGTCTGGGTTCCTGTCATGGTTGTCTCTGCATCCATGTCTCTCTTAGCCCCACTTTGACTTATCATTGCTATTACTCCCCTAACCAGCACATTGAATTGCAGAAAATCCATAGTTTAAAAAGTATTAACACACTTTTGTGCCTTAGAAATACCCATTCAGAGGGGGCAGAGCTAAGATGGTGGAGTAAAAGCAGTGACTTGGTTGAGCTCTCCCCCAAACTCCTCCAAATATCTATAAAAAATGGTTCTAAACAAATTCTAAAGCAGCAGAACCCACAAAAAGACTGAATGAAACAAATTTCCAACCCAAGACAACCTGGATGGTTGATCAGAAAGGTATATCACACCAGGTGGGGAGAGGAACACAGCTCAGTGTGCAGTGAGCAGGCGGCAGTGAACCTGGAACAGGTCTCAGAGGACTGAATCACAGTCAGCTGTGTCAGTTTCCAGACTTCTCAACCCATGAACACCAAAGACAATGGGAAAAGAAGTCTGTGTCTGCTGTGAGAGAGAAGTGCAGTCACAGTCACAGTTCCTGAGCATTGCCCTGGGGCACTGGCTGCCTCCAGAGCTTCAGGTCCACAAACTGAAGGGGAATTGAGTGGCTGATCACAGGGGGATTCCAGGGATCTCTTTGCTCATGCAGGACTCTCTTGCTTTGCCCATGCTTGGATCTGGGTCACAGTAGTGGGTGGTGGTCCTGGGGAGAGGAGGAACACTGGCATGGTGAAGCTTGTAGTGGCAGTGGAGAGGAAATCCTCCTCACAGTTCCAAGACAGAAAAGAGTGTTGTGGTCACTCATAGACCAGAACACAGGCCAGGAAAGGAGTAAACACTTTGCCCTTCATCATAGCACTTTTGAAGAACTGAAAATTTATAGGTCCCTAGAAGTATCTCGAAAAACAGCTATACAAACCCCCGAAGTTTGGGACAGTACATTCTCCACACTGGAAGCAGACCCTTACCTTAACAAAGATTTTATAACTCAAGTAATTGGCTGGGACCATGAGCAAACCTCACAAAAAAATCAGACCATAGAATCTTACTTTGGTGATAAAGAAGATCAAAACATACAACCAGAAGAAGGCAACAAAGTCAAAGCTCCTACATCCAAAGCCTCCAAAAAAATTTGAATTGGTCCCAGGCCATGGAAGAGCTCAAAAAGGGTTTTGAGAAGCAAGTAAGAGAGGCAAAGGAAAAACTGAGAGTGATGCAAAAAAATCATGAAAAACAAGTCAACAGTTTGCTAAAGGAGACCCAAAAAAATACTGAAGAAAATAACACTTTAAAAAATAGCCTAACCCAAATGGCAAAAGAGGTCCAAAAAGCCAATGAGGAGAAGAATGCCTTAAAAAAGCAAAATTGGTCAAATGGAAAAGGAAGTCCAAAAGCTTACTGAAGAAAATATTTCCTTAAAAATTAGAATGGAGCAATTGGAAGCTAGTGACTTTACGAGAAATCAAAATACTGTAAAACAAATTCAAAAGAATGAAAAAATAGAAAACAATGTGAGATATCTCATTGAAAAAAAAATGACCTGGAAAATAGATCCAGGAGAGAGAATTTTAAAATATTGGAGTGTGTGAAAGCCATGATCCAAAAAAAGTGCCTAGATATCATCTTTCAAGAAATTATCAAGGAAAACTGTCCTGATATTTTAGAACCAGAGGGCAAAATAAAAATTGAAAGAATCCACCAATCACCTCCTGAAAGAGATCCCCAAAGGAAAACTCCTAGGCATATTGTAGCCAAATTCCAGAGTTCCTGGGTCAAGAAGAAAATATTGCTAGCAGCCAGAAAGAAGCAATTCAAATATTGTGGAAACACAATCAGGATAACACAAGATTTAGCAGCTTCTGCATTAAGGGACTGCAGGGCTTGGAATATAATATTCCAGAGGACAAAGGAGATAGGATTACAACCAAGAATCACCTACCCAGCAAAACTGAGCATAATCCTCCATGGGGCAAAATGGACATTCAGTGAAATAGAGGCCTTTCAAGCATTCTTGATGAAAAGACCAGAGCTGAATATATCATTTGACTTTCAGATACAAGACTCAAGAGAAACATGAAGAGGTAAACAGGAAAGAGAAATCATAAGAGACTTAATACATTCTGTTTACATTCTGCATGGAAAGATGATATTTGTAACTCGTGAGTCCTTTGTCAATATTAGTGTAGTTGGAGGGAAAAAAATTATATGCATGTATAGATAGATTGAGAGAGGGCACAGGGTGAGTTGAAGATGAAAGGGTAATATCTGGAGAATAAAATTAAGGGGTGAGAGAGGATTATACAGAGAGAAGGAGAAAGGTAGAGGTAGAATGGGATAAATTATCTCACATAAAACAGTTTAATTCAAGCTGTTCAATGGAAGGTCAAAAATTGAAGAGGAAGCTTAAATACTTTGGCCACATAACGAGAATATGGGAGTCATTGGAAAAGACCCTGATGTTGGGAAAGATTGAAGGAAAAAGGAAAAAGGGATGGCAGAGGATGAGATGGATAGACAGTATCATAGTAACAATGAACATGAACTCAGGCAGACTTCAAGAAATAGTGGAGAATAGGAGGTCCTGGTGTGCTATAGTCCATGGAGTCATGACATGTTGGATCAGACTGAATCACTAAACAAAAACAAATACCAATTGTTTTCTGCTCTAGCCAGAAACTCTGAGGATCTTCCCCTCCCAGATTAATACTTTTGTGATGGTAAACTAGGCCATCTTCTGCCTAGCCCTTCATTGTTGAATGGGCATTGCCTCAGACAATCTGAGACCTAGGAAAGACCTTAATTTATAAAGGCCAAGATCACCCACTGCATCTTGAACCATCGCCAGTTGTCTTGACTTTTGTGTTGCCACTGAACTCTGATGACTCTGGAGGAGAGAGTGAGGTTGACAGGTTTGTGCAGCTCTGCCTCACTTAAATCCAATTCATGTGCAAGCCAAGACATCATCCTCATAATATCATTGGTCCTCTTCAGGAATGAAGGACAAACAATACTGAGTTGGTCAATATGATCTATCTGCCAAGCTGTTCCCAGAGATGAGCCTCTGAAGATGGATCCACATAGCAATTTTAATAATGGTCCTCTGGAAAATAGGGCAATTTTGTAGAGTAATAATATAAACTCTAGAGTTGTGAACCTTATAAATACTTATCCTATGCTTAGTCTCATAAATTATGTTTCTTAATTAAAATATGAAGCAAAAATTAAACTGAGGCACTTTCACGTACATCCCATGGACCTATGTCCTAGTACATACACCAGGCCCAGGTACATGGTAATGTAACAAATAGCTAATGACTTCTACAATCTCAGAAGATATAAGTGAAATTTTCTGTAGTCATAGTCGCTTATAATTTCTGTTGATTGGAAATTGATTGTAAAGAGCTAGGAGTCCAAATTTCTACTTTCCATTTATTCCCATTTGATAGCATCATGAATCCATAATGCAAAGGTCTCTTTATTTTGGCCAAGTTCCTTGATTGGGTCATTTGGAAAGCCAGTTGCACAGATAAACAACCTTTTATTTTTAGCACAGAATTCAGTATTTATCAGCATCAAATTAGCCTTTGGAACTGCAGAATACATTAGAACAGAGATTCTAAACCTGAATTTGTTTTTTAAAAAATATAGTTTGATAAATATATTTCAATATAGTTGATTTTTATAATTATATGTATTTTATTCTATGCATTTAAAAAGACTATTCTAAGAGGACTCTACAGACTTCACAAAACTCCCAAAGTGCTTCATGACACAAAAATCCCCTACATTGGGGGTGCTCTATATTGAGAAAAATAAATTGGCTTTGATCTTCTTAAAAGTGAAAGGAACCTATGGAAATAATTTTCCTAATTACTTAGAATTCTTTTCTACATTGAATAACTTAAAATGTCTGTGATAATCTGAATGAAATGCCATCTAGTAGAAGAAATACAAAGTGACCACCTAAACTGAGTAAACAAATATTAACCAGTGGTAAACTCGACATCATTCCCAGAGCTTAAGTCTAGTCAGGAGATGTCAACAAGTATCACATTATGCTAAGCTGAGGTGGAAAACTTAAATATATTTAACATAATTTTAAGATTCTATGAACATATTGATGTTATATAAGCTTATATGAAATAGAAGATGTTAGAAAGGAAAGAAATGCCAATTTCCTAAAAGTTCACATTAACTCAGCAATTTATTTCTATTTGACTAGGATTATGACCAGATAAGATAGTTAATCATCACTAGAGTGATTAAAATTTAAGAAAACAACTGAGCTTTCTACTTAAAGACAGTCCATTCAGTAGCAACAGGAAAAGGGGTGGATGTACCATTGCTGAAGTTGAATTCTAAGTCTAGGTAAGAACCTTCTAGATTTTGTTAATTGAATTTTTTTTCTATCCAACCAGTTTTGGTAAGCATTATGAATAGCCATGAAAAAATATTTCAATTTTCCAACATTAAGCTCTTTTTAAGACTTTGCTCTATTTACTCAAATCTTGTTTTAAATATATCTATGTTTCATCTTTACTTTGTGCTTAAAGATAAATTTGAGAACTGTTCATAGATCGATTTTGAAGTGGGAAGTACTGTTTCCATTCTCTAAGTCCCAAACAGATAAGGTAGATAAAGTTGCATGTCTGAGTAGAGTTCCAGGTCCTTTTGTTCCATTCCCAACATACTCTACTTCATTCCCAAAGTATATATGCTATTCAGCTGTCCAAATAATTTATAAATGATCACAGACTGAGAGTAATCAAGGTGAGGGTACTTTTAGGAAGCAGTTGAATGAGAATAGAGAGATGTCAGGGTATACCTATAGGAAAACTGTCTAGTTTTGACTGCATTTGATGTGAGTATAGGAAGAAGTAAAATTTCAAAGGAAACCAGATATAATAAGTGAGAAGAGTATCTCCATTCCCCCTTCTTCAATTCCTTGAGATTCCTGGCATTCTCTTTTCAGGACTGAAAACAGGAATTAAACTTCCCATTCAGTTACTCTGAGGGTCTCAGGAAGTGTGTGTGTGTGTGGGGGGGGGAACTTACAGGTTTAATATGGGTGACATGCTGTTTGAGAGGTGCCTTAGAAAGTACTGAAATTCCTAGGTAAAGTCCCAACCACACTAACTGTGCAATCTCAGGAAAATCACTTAACCTTGGATACCTCAAAGGATAGTATTTGATCTCTAAGCTCCTTTTCAGATCTAAAATTATATGACTCTACCTTCTTACTCTTGGCTCAGCTAAGATAAACACCAAATTCATACCATTGCCTTTGGATTGCCAGTTATAGTTTGGAGGGAATTTAGAGATAATCTGATCCAACCCCCTAACTTTATAGACAAGGAACTGAGTACAGAGTATTTAAGTAATGTGCACAAGGTCACACATCTCCTTAATGTCTGACCTGGAAATAGGACCCAGGTCCGAAAGGATCCAGGATTTTGGTAGACTGTAAGCTCAATGCAAGTCAGCAGTGATTCTGGCAGCTCACAAAGTTAAAGTCATCTTGGGTTACTATAAGAAAAGCATAACTTCTTGGAGATGAGAGACCCTCAGTATTTTTCCCTGGTGAGGCCACAAGTAAACTGTGTTTACATCTGGATCCTACAGATTAAGAAGGACTTTAATAACCTACAGTACATCCAGAGGAGTTAAGCCTAAATAGTGAAGTGCTTGAAGTCCATGTTAAATAATGAAGAATGGAAGAAACTGAGAATATGTTGCATTTAGAAGATTCAGGGTAAACATAATAGCTGTGTTCAAGTGTTAAAGACCTTTCATTTGGAAGGGAAACTACTTGTTTTCTTTGGCCTCAGAGGGCAGAACCAGGAACAAAGTGTCAAAGTTGCAAAGAGACAAAGTTAGGGTTAGTGTCAAGAAAAAAATGAAAACAAAACAATTACCTACTAAGTAGAGCTTTCCAGAAGCAGAAAGGGCTGTTCAGAGAGGTGTTGTACTTCTGCTAAACAGAGAGTTTCACGAGAAGAGTGGATCACCTCTTTAGGGGCATAAAAAAGATTCCTTTCAGGCATGAGTTGGACTAGATGATCTTTTGAGTCCCTACCACCTCTAAAATTCTGTGCTTCTGTGATCTTTTAACTTAAAATCTAGTGTTCTTTCCCACCCTGCCATACTTGTACCTATTATGACCAAAGCAATGCTTGTCCCCATTGCAATCAATATTTGGCTCTTCCTTTCAACAAACATAATCCCATGAAAGCCCTGCCCTTACCCTTAGTGAATCAAATCTTAACTTTGTAGCCTTATGGGGAAAATCTCTCCTAACTCATATTATGGAAGTGGAGGAACTTTGGTAGATATTGGTCTTATCACACCTTCTGAGATTACCTTCCATTCACTTTTTATCTTGTGTGTTCTGATTTGTATATGTTGTGTCACCAATTAAAATGTAAGTTCCTTGAGGTCACAATTTCTTTCTATCCCCTGTACTACATATATGCTTGGCACATATTAATTTTTTAATAAATGCTTATTGAATGATGATTCATAAGCTTATTTCAAACTGATCCTCAAACAAAAGCACATGTTTTAATTACTAGGCTTATACTTAAAGCTCTTCTAGTTTGGTAACATATCCATTACACACTCATGTGTACATTTTTAAATGAACTATACTTTATCTTAGATTTCTTCTTCTCATGCTTATTCTATCTTCTTGAACCGAAAGAGACCTGGATCCTTCCAAAAGACATGTCTCCCTTAGTTCTCCTTGCCAGCACAGGATTCCCCTGATATGCTGGACCAAAAGGAAGAGAGGGCATTCACTTTGTTCAACAATGCCATTTGCAAGCCCTCCCTCTGCCTCCATCATTTAGTAACCTCTCCTCCTTAGACAATCTCTATATGGAAATATATCACCTTCAAGATCCCCAGAGGTAGTCATCTGCTAACCCTCTGATCATTCTCCCTCTATTCTCAAGGAGTTTCACACCTTTTAACAAACTTCCTGTCCACTCTAGCCCTTATACTTATATTAAAGAATCTCATCAATTGTATTGATGTTCCCTTAAATACCCTGACCTCCCAATTCATGAACCTAATCAACTTCCAAAACCTCAACCTTGACTACAATTCAGTCACATATATCAATACTCATTCTTAAAAATCCCTAGCTTCCTTCAAGTCATAATTTTAGTGCTACCATATACAAAGTCCTCCCCTCTCCAAATTACCTTCTACATATTTTGTATATTTTTATTTATATATATATATATATATATGTATATATATATATATACATATTATTTTTCCCATATAGAATGTAAGCCCCTTGAGGGAAATACTATTTTCATGTTTGTCTTTGTATCCCTAGTGCCTAGAATACTGTAGCACAAAGTAGATACTTAATAAATGCTTGGTTAATGCAGTTAAAGCTTAGATCCAAATATATGTGTATATTTAAGTGCATACATACATTGAAATGTATGCATGAACACTTCCATTATATTTGGAAAATACATATACACATAAATGGTATAGTGGTACAGTAAACTAGTTGGTAGAAAGCTTTCCTTGGAGTTAGGGAAAACTGAATTCAAGCCTTGTCTCTAAACCTTACTGACCATGAAACTAAGGTTAAGGAGATAAAAATCATTTAACCTTAGTGCTCAGTGAACCCTATGCACTTGTAGACTTTCCTCAGCGGGAAAGTTATATGAATGAAATTGTATATCCAGACCAAAAAATAAAGTACACATACACATATACATATTTAAATAATTTAGCATTTCTTTCTGTGATCTTTTTGGTGTGTGTTCAGTCAGACCACAACTCAGCCATGCTTTCTTTAACTGTATATCATTTATGTAATATATGTAAACTGTCTTTAAGAAAAAAACAAATACTTTATTTAACCATAAAGTGAAAATGCATAGGAAATTCAAGCCTGTTATTATGAGAATAAATAAAAAGCAGAAACAATCTATAGATGCCTAGATTTTGTTTTTAATCATTGGTCTGAATTTTTGCACACATTGTCATGCAACTATACTTGCTGAATAACAAAGGGAAATATTTGCCCAGATTGCAATGGAAACAATCATTCTCTTGGTAACAATGAGCACAAGTAATGTCTAGTGATCCTTCCATTCCACCTGGTGTCAGTGGACAGCTTTGAGGTTGCTGGAGCATTAGATTTGGAGTCAAGATATTGAAGCTCTGGTTGTAGTTCTTGGGTGATCTTGAACAGTTATGACTCATTTTGTACTATTGTTACTCAGTTTGCTCATCTGTAAAAATAAATATCAGCTGATCTTCAATTTCTCTTCTAGCCCTAAATATTTTGATTTTTGTTTTTTTCCCCCAATAGAGCCAGGAGGGAAAAGACAGTCATGTAATTTTAGAACTGAGGACAACTTTAGGGATCATCAAATAAAACCCCTTCATTCCATAGATGGAGAAACTAAGGAGAGGCAACTTCCCCAAATTCACATAATTGTGAATATACAATTCACACACACATACACATACATACTCATGCACACATGCACATATGTACATATGTGTGTATGTATATACACACTTGATTCAGTTTAATTCAATAAACTTTCATTAAGTTTTTACTTGGTGTGGATCACTGGGTTTAGTGCCTGAAAGGAAAAAATTTAGAAAAGAGAGAGACCTTAAACTCAAAAAGATTGCAGTCTAGTAAAAAAAAAAGTACACAAAATAAATATAACACATGAAACAGTGAGGGCATCAGAGAAGTGTAAATGATTTGCTTTGAAAGATCTGAGGAGGTAAAGATTATTACTAACTAGGGGCTGTCATGAACAGCATCAGAGAAGAGGTGAATATGTATTTAATTGTGACTTTTAAGGCTTAGTAAGAATTAAAGAGCTAGAAAAGTGTTTCTATATATGTATATGTATATGTATACATATGTGTGTATATATATGTGTGTATATATATATATATGGGGACAGCACACAATATATGGCAGCAGGCACAAGATAATAATATATATATAAACAACATATAAAGGAAAAGGATGATCTGTGTGGTACAGTGACAGATTGACATTTTGGACAAATCAAGGATGCCAAGGTAAGCAAGGTGGACCAAATATATTTGGGCTTGAATTTGGGCCCATGACGGAGAAGATTTCAAAGCAAAACCTCCATCTGAGGAATACTCATAATGCCCTTCTCCCACTCTTCTGCTTATCCAAATCTTACCCAAACGTCAAGTATCAATTCAAATCCCACCTGCTCTATTCAATCTCCTTAAACTTACAATGATTCCCTTTATTCTCTGATTTCTTGTTAGATTTCTAGTCTTCACTATGCAAACTAGCACCAAATATACTATTGTGTATTGTGTTTCCATTGCTTCTTGTGCATGAGTGTTCACTATCTTGGTAATAAATTACTCACAGGCAGGACCATTGTCTTATAGTTCCTTTGTATTCATCGGTCCATAGAATTTAAGAGCTAGAAATCAGTTCTATTAAGCAAACAAGTTGATGTTGTTCAGTCATTCAGTCATGTCTGATTCTTCCTGACTCTGTAGACAGTCTCTGGGGTTTTCTTGGCAAAAATACTAGAGCGATTTGCCATTTCCTTCCCCAGTGGATTAATGCAAAGAGTTGTGACTTGCCCATGGTCACACAGCTAGTAAGTGTCTGAGGTGAGATTTGAACTCAGGTTTTCCTGACTGCAGGCCCAACATTCTATTTACTGTGCCCCCTTGCTGCCTCCTGAGCAAATAAGTATTAGGTGTCTACTGTGTGTAAGGTAGAATGTTGGGAAGTAGGGATGAAAAAAAAATAATAGGTCCTGACCCAAAGGAGATTAAATTCTATTTGAAAGTAACCTTAGAGGTAGACCATTTAATACAACTCTATATTTTACATATGAGGAACTGAGATCCAAAGAAATCAAGTGTCATCATGTGTAGCACAAGGTCACATAGTAGTTAGTGACAAGTCTGGGAATAGAATTCAATATTCTTTTGCCAGGGTTTTTTCTCTGTATCATGTTAGTGGAGACCTAGGAAGGTATTGGACACACAGTAGACTTTCCAGAAATTCTTGATAGTTGATCGATTTAAATGGAAATAATAACAACAGCAAAGTATGGTAAGGGGGAAATGCTCTAAGTTTCATTCCAATTCAGTTACTAAAACTAGCTATGCTATCTACTCAGTTATCTAGTTCTCTCTGAGTCTTAGTTCTTCATTTATAATAGAAGGGGTTTGACTGATCAATTTCAAACATCTGTCCCCGTGATAATATCACAAGATAAGTTTGAGGAAAAGAGAAGGTAGCAATAATTTCACACATTAAAATAAAGAAAAATATGCTCTTCTCTCCCTAGGTAATAACTTCAAGACAAGAAGACATGGCAGCAAAAGCAGATCTCTCAGATTCCAGGAAGGACTCAAATCAATGTTCAACAGATGTACAGTCATCAGTCAAGAAGAAAACTAAGTGTAGCAATGGCTTGAAGGTTCAATGAGTTACATTCTTTTATACTTAAATAGTTAAATTAGTAGTTGTAGTTAAAAGGAAAGAAGTTTCTAAGTTGGGAGGAAAAACGCTGTTGAGGAGAGATAGTGTTTCAAAGTCGACTGAGAACTGGTCTAGGAGACACAAATCCTAGGGTTGAAGTCTCACCACCAACACACATTGCTTATATAACCCTGGAAAACACTTAAAGACTCTGATTTGCAAAGAAAGTGCTGATTTGCATGGGCAGAGAGAATTCCTCACTGAGAATTTATGGTGATGATATCAGAGGCCCCATCCAAAAGAATAAATAACCTAAACAAAACTTTCTAGAATAGTCTTACTTTGAAATAAATGCCCAACACTGTCATGCTCATTTACATCTAAGTTTAATTTTATAGGTTCCCAGAACCTTTAAATAACCCTGGAAACATCTCAGTGATGGTTTTGTGGTGAACTTACAGGTTTAGAGCTGACAGAGACTGAAAATCTGAACTTCAGAATTTTGGTTTTTCCATGATACGTGACAGATGAAAATATGGGTGTGAATGTGTGTAAAATACATGACACTTTTCATGTTGAGAAAGTGTAAGGATGTATTGATACATCCATCTGTAGGAACTGTCCTCATTAAAATACTGAGCACTAAATATGAGCCTTTATCAGAAATAAGGGGCATTGGATCACCCCAGAAAAAAGCAGGCCCTGTGCTTGAAAGAATATAAACAAACAGGTAATGGCAGAGGAAGAAGGGACAAGTAGGACTTGTTGTGACTCTTTGGTGATGGGTACCACAATGGTTAATGACCAGACGAGCCTGACTTTCTGTCTTACTGAGACATATGTATGAAAGAATGAATGACTGGAGGATTGGATGAATGAAAAAAGCACTTACTATGGACCAGAAATCAGGTCCTTACTATGTGCCAGAAACTGTGCTAAGTGGTAGGATACAAATACAAAAGTGAAACAGTCCCTGTTTTCAAAGAACCTACATTCTAATAAGGAGAGACAAAACAGATTGGGCAGTGATGCCCCAGGAAAAGAGTCCTGGTCTAGTGACAGTCACTTTAAGACAAGTTTCAAAATGAGCAAGGTGGATGGTGGGACTAGATATAAAGCATGGTCTGTTCTGGGGCCAGCTAAATGTAGTGGGTTAGGTGGGTTTGCACACAAGAATCAGAAGAGCATATGTATGTGTATATATGGAAACAGTATTATAGACTCCAATCAAGAAAGCTCAATCACAGGGCAGGAGTTCCAAAGCTTAGTGAATTGCGTTACCCAGGGATTGGAGGCATAATTTCTGGAAGCTCAGTGACAGAGTCCTGTTCCAGATGGAGGAAAGCATCAGAAGAAGCAGGGAAGATGGGGCCACAAGAATCATGTGCTAGTATGGCTTCACAGTGGAGCCTACAGTCAACAGTAGATTGACTTAGGACTATAGTAACCAGGAAGCAGAGATTGGCTACCAGAATAGAAAGGACTCAGTGGATATCTCCACTACAAAAAAATCTACAGGATTATATCTGGAAATGAAATATAAAGATTCATAGCCTCCTGGCTTGAAAGTTATCCTTCAGCCTGAAGTATTATCTCCCCTCTTCTTCTTCAGTCACTTATTACATGTTTCCATGTCCTTTGGCTGTTACTTCTCCCTGAGGACATCACCACTAGGTGAATGGAACCACATTTTCTGATTTGGAGTATGCTGATCCTTAGTCCTATTGCTTACCCTTTGACTTTTCCCTATGGGCTAAGGGAAGGATCAGTTGAGGAAAGCTTTCCCTATCTCTTATTTGACTTGTCTCTTATTCAGGTTATGCAGTATCACTTGTCCTTTTTCCATGTTGTCAGCATCTGCTATCCTACCCTTCACTGAAAAGCCCTCTTTTACTTTCAAGTCAATAATTTATTAAAACCATCCAAAAGGAAAAGTGAACATCAGATTGAGAAAAAGGGAAAAAACATGCAAAAGGTAGACTGAATCAACAAAGTTTTGCCACTGGTCCTGCCCTAATATTTGGGCATCCTTGATTGTAAAAGCTTTGAGTGCCCCAGATGCTGATCAAGAACCAAACAATGGAGGTAAATTCTCCTTCACCCACATTGAGCAGCTTTTGGGCTATCCAGGCAGCCCAAAGCTAGCCTGCTGGAAGCATTGCCCAGGACCTCTGTACAACAGGGACTCACTAGAAACTATGTTGAGTAACAAAGAGTAAATAGTGCCATGCTCATAACACTTGAAGCCATCCAGAAACAAACCACAGGGGTTGTCTGAAGCATGTAAATCTTCAAATGTGGTGTAGCAGGGAGACCTACAATTTTTTCATATCTACTATAATGATGGAAAATTCAGCAATGTTCCAAAAATGTTACACTACTTGATGTTAAAGTTACAGAATGGTTTTGGCAGATGATGGGGCTTCCAGTGAGCTTCCCTATTATAACAGAAAAGGAAAAATGATAACCTGTACTGGGATGATGCCCCACCTTATCCCCACCAACCAACAAATCTATCCCCATTATGCATGTCAACTGATTTATAACTCTGGCAGGGGCATATACTGATGACATTCTTACTACCTCTAACCAGACATCTTTGTCACTTATGTGGTAGCTCTCCAAAACCTCCCATTCACATAGGGTTCCAATTCTCAATTAAATGTGCTCTATTGATCTTCTATGAAGTGGTCTTCTAGAGAGATAGGAGCTTTTTCAGTGGATCAGTATTGTAAAACTAATTGATTACCCCCCAATTCCCAAATAGGGAGTGTCATCCTAAGCCTGCTTCTAGGTCAGAGAAGATTCAGGAAAATCATCCATCAGGGCTGAGTCCTCATGATTCCTTTCCAAACTTACCAGAACAAAGATATAATTCTATGTGGACTATATAGTGTATCAAAGTCATTTCTCCTCCTCCTTCCCCTCCCCCTCTTTCCCCTCCCCCTCCTCCCCCTCCTCCTCCCCCTCCTCTTTCTTCTTCTTCTTCTT